AATGATACTGTAACCAAAGGCAATAAAAGAATTTACTTAATCAAAGACAATAAAAACCGATACTTGATAAAATTCAAAAGACAAGAACACGATACTGTTATCAAAGACAAGTCCAACCACGAAAACTGTAAGCAAAAACAAGTAAATTATACTGTTAGCAAAGACAAGAAAACGATACTGTATAAAACGATACTGTTATAAAAGACAAGTGATCGATAATGTAAGCAAAAGCAAGTAAACTATACTGTTTTCTAAGACAAAAAAACTATACTGTTATCAAAGGCAAGAAAACGATACTGTAATCAAAGACAAGAAAACTATGCTGTTATCAAAGACAAGAAAGCTATACTGTTATGAAAGACAAGAAAACGATACTGTAACCAAAGACAAGAAAACGATTCTGTAAGCAAAGACAAACACAAGGAATATTCTACTTAAAGACAACAAACCTATACTGTAATAAAAGACAAGAAAATTGTACAGTTATAAAAAGATTAAAAAACTTACTGTTATCAAAGACAAGAAAAATTATACTGTTATCATAGGCAAGTAAACCATACTCTAATCAAAAACAAGAAATTGCACTGTTATCAAAGACAAGAAAACGATACTGTTATCAAAGATAAGAACACGATACTGTTATCAAAGACAAGAACACGATACTGTCACCAAAGACAAGAAAACGATTATGTAAGCAAAGACAATAAAAGGATACTCTACTCAAAGACAACAAACCTATAATGTATTCAAAGACAAGAAAATCGTACTGTCATAAAAGATAAGAAAACTATACTGCTATCAAAGACAAGAAAACGATACTGTAAGCAAATGCATGAAAACGATTCTGTTATCGAAGACATGTGAACGATACTGTAAGCAAAGGCAAGTAAACTATACTGTTATCAAAGACAAGAAACTATACTGTTTTCAAAGACAAGTAAACTATACTGTTATCAAAGACAAGAAAGTATACTGTTATCAAAGACAAGAAAACGATACTGTTATCAAAGACAAGAAAACGATACTGTTATCAAAGACAAGAAAACGATACTGTTATCAAAGACAAGAAGCCGATACTGTTATCAAAGGCAAGAAAACAATACTGTAATCAAAGCTAAAAGATTATACTGTTATAAAAGACAAGAAAACTAGACTGTTATTAAGGACAAGAAAGCAATACTGTAGTCATCTGCAATATAGCTTCAACTGTTATCAAAAGACAAGGAAATGAAACTGCTGTCAATGACAAAAAAAACTATCAAAGACAAGAAAGTGATATTTTTAAGCAAAGACACGAAAAATGATATTTTAAGCAAAGAAAAACAAAATGTTACTGTTACCAAATACAAACAAACGGTACTGTTATCTAACAAGAAAATTGATATTGTATAATCCGATCAAAAAACGATACAAGTAATCAAAACAAACTGAAGTTACAGGCAATATTGATTTTTTGAAAATGCATGCATTTGAAGCCAGGCAAGTTGTATTATATATTTAGTTTCCGAATATGAGATTGAAATATTTCTGGAAAAAATGTTTGAATTATTTATGTTTAATGTTTGACGACAGGGTTTTAGCGTTTTAAAATATTGATTTTAACAATTGGTACGACTCATCATTGTGCATTTATTGTTAAAAACTAATCTATTGTAAATAAAAATGATTGAAGTTCATATGATACAGAAGACTGATGAGTTCACTATAGCTATCTAAAGCTATTCATATTTCACTTTAGACTTCCTTTGGTATCAATTACATATTTACATGAACCATAAGCACCGATTCTATCCGTAATTCTGTTTTGTGAGAATAACACAGAAATTGTGCAATAGTAACGCCGAATATGTGCCATATATGGCTAGCTAAGTAAACGGAGCAATATATGTTATTGTATATTAAAAGAAAGAACTGAATTAACCTATACGGCTTAGACATTAAACATGGTCCTGGAATAATTTTTAATTAAGGTTAAATTAAAATGTTTTAATAGTTGTACCTTAAATTTTATTCACTATATGAGATATTGGTCCTTTTACTTACTGCATTGCTCGTTACGGGTCATATATTGGATATATTAGGCGTTATTTTTGCACTTTTTTGCATTATTTTCATATTCCTACTACACGGTGATGAAGTAAAATATATTAAGCACTGATAGATATAAGGTATGAAATAAAATGTATACACTTTAACATAAAACTTACTGGAAATATGAGCCAGGACAGGTTTTAAATAAGCCATTTTCGCTGATGTGTCAATGCGCAGAAGATCTGCTCCATCCTCCTTGCATGTGTCACGTGACTCGTCGGATGTTCGTTCGTCATGGTACATCTTCATGCACACGTTTAATGGGCGTATGTACGTGTAATCATGACGCTCGCAAACAACTGTAAATAAAAATTAACGCATGTTTGGAAATTTTCCTTTGTTCTTACTAACCCATTATACCCAGATAACGTTCAACTGCATTGATATATAATAGTGTTGTTTTTTATTTTTATTTTTATTTTTTTTCATCATTGATTCATATAGGGAAAAATCAACAATTGGGTTGTTTTTGGTTTTTTATACCTTGTATATATCAGAGGATGGAATGGGGTATCACACATTTCCAGAAGTAAAAAGAACATGGATGAATTAGCTTGTATTGGTTAATCAAGTTTAGATGCGCATTTCATCGTTTTTTTTCTGGTTCAATGACTTTGTTCAGAGTTATGGCTCTTAAATTAATTTTAATTCCGGACTACTCCTCTTATACCACTAATTCAGTTTCAATGAAACTTTACAGGATTGATTGGCAGCTCAAGTACTTGCGCATATTACATGAATTATTCCCTTCAATGATATTTTTGCCGAGTTATGGCCCTTTAATAAAAGTTGTTAATAAAGTTTGTCCGAATTACCCTTATACCACTAATGCAATTTCAATGAAACTTTGCAGGATTGATTGGTAGCTCAAGTACTTGCGCATTTTACACGAGTTTACCTTTTGAGTGATTTTTGGTCGAGTTATGGCGCTTGAATAAAAAAAACTCATTTTGCCTTGTACATGATTTTTGTGTCACCTGCAACATGCAATTGGGTATCATGAGGCGACACATTAGATCACTGATCGTTTTTTTATTTTAGCAGAAATATCTCTCGATGTCGCCCCAATCAATGTTATATCCTCGTAACTAAATCGTTTCATATACTAGAACTATTACTTATTTGGTTTTTGTGAATGTCATCATTATAATACTGCATTTAAGCAGCTGATTTATACTTAAAAAACCTGTTTGATATTTCAAATTATTTTATAAATTATTAGTGTTATAAATATGAAACCAAAATGCATACTTTTGTATACATACATTTAGAACAAAATAGAATAAAATAGAACAAATACAGTCATTGGTGTGCAAGATTTAATAGCATTATTTAGGTAATTTCATTAAACTGAAATAAGTAATAATTCGTAAAAAGTTAAACATAACGAGTTGTACAAAAGTGATACCTTTGAAAAATATAGTTTGCTTTTGTGTTATGACATCGACTGTAAAGTTAGCAACGTCATACTTGTAGAGTTGACAGCTTCCAGTTGCGGGGGAAAATGCAAGAGATACGCATTGTGACTCGAGGGAGCATTCCGCTGTGCATTGGTCTACATGATCAAAATTTTGGAATGCGCTCAGACGACCGTCAATAACAAGTATATCAGACACGGAGGTCTCATGTACAACTGTAAGACGTCCAATCACTGTAAAGTGAAAATATAGATCAAAAGCAAACATAATTTATCTGGAAACAAACTTACCACATAGTTTTATTCTTGTATTTCAAATTCAATCTTTGCTAGATATACTTGTACTTTCATAATGTTTAAAAAGATAAGTATATTTCCGAGTGTACATGTTCACGTAAAGTTTAAATACCTGTATAGTGTAATTTTGAATGTATTTTCACTTTAATCTTTAATGTATTTCATAAATGTATTAACGTTCATAGTCAATAGCTCTTTTTTTACAAATCGCCTGCTTGCTTTACAATTTGACCGAAAGTATCATTTTCACTCACGTGCACAATTTTCGTTGGTAAAAAATACTTTTGACAGAACTCATAGACAATTACATTTAACTTGTTAAATACGATAATTTATAACAAGCATAAAGCAGCAGATTTATGGATACTATTATGCTCGAGAGCTAGCGGTCTTTAACTGTGTCTGTTAATATCAAACGACATTTTTGGTATTTTAGTCATACTAAATAACAGTTTTCCTGTGTAGCTTTACTGATAATCTTTAAAACATTTAGTGTGAATTCATCAAGAAAATATAGCACGCAGTATACGTCACGTGCTAGTGTTTTATGACCCTAGCCTTCATCATATATTATTATTATCGTGTTTTATAGGAAGATGTGCTATAGACCTTTTTACGACACGGTCTGTTGCTTTGTTAAATCGACCGGAGGTAGCATAGTTGCACGGGGAACAAAGAGCATCGACCTACATATAAATATAGTAGATGTTCATACACAATTCCGATTTAGTTTAAGATAAAAAGGAGAAAATTTTATAAAAGAGCTTTTAACAAAAAAAACAACAACACAAAAGATGCCCTTATAGCTGTGTGGCAAGATTGCCATAGAAATACATGAAAAAAATGATTGTGTAAGAATTCCCCCTAACGTTCACTGACCTGACATTGAGATAATTGTCGTAAATAAAATAATGTGAAAAATATCTACTAGCAAATAAAGAGGTCAACCTAATTGTTGCTGAAATAATTTATATAATAACTAAAGAAATTTCACAACATATGAAATCGAGGTTAATTATCATTCTGAAAAAGTCAGAACAGTTGATAATGTATTTTTAGTGTTAGGTTTGCCTGAGTTGATCCTTTTTCCTATTTGACTGTGATGCCAAACAGAAAATATTTGAGTCACATAAATGCATGTAAATATTTTTTCAAAATCTTGAGAAGTAAAGATGGGTACTGTGTAGTGAAATAATACACGCTTTACCCGGTTCCTCGTTACACAGGTAATACATGTCACACTATTTGTCACTTCACAAAATCAATAAACATTGATAAAGTTATTTTAATAACAATTTTTCATGATTTTACGTGATTAACTATGTCATTGTACTAAAACGTCCCTGTTGAATGATATTGTAAACTAGCTAGAAAAAAAAAAACAACCGGTGACTTATCAATCAGTTTCACACTTGCTTTGCCAATCCACTCAAAGGAAGTGTGTGCAATACAAATTGTTTAATATTTTATGACTATTTGTAATGCAGTTGTAATAAAATTTTATCTTTAACACCCTGCTGTTTCAATTTAAATTGCTGATGAAAGGATCGTCTATTGATACCTTAAACAGCGCTTTTTGGTCATTGAATTATTAATCCCGCATATTTTCGTTTTTCTGTTATAAATATCAATTCACGTTTTAAGTACTAACCGCTTTAAGACATGCCAAAATAACTGTTTTCTGGGTGGCATAACTTGAAATTACGTCTATTAAACCATTAAAGTATGATAATTGTAGTCATCGTTATTGTGTATTTGCCCTACGCAAAATACGCATGCGCGAAATACACAATCCGTTACCATGGAAAAATTGTTTAGTTTCAGATGATATCATTATTAAATGGATGAATAAACCATTTTCAAGAAAATTTTGAATAAAATTCACCATAAAGCAAAGAAATTATTTCATACCAAATATTTTTAAATGAATTAACCCCCCTCCTTTACAACTTATAACACTATAAAATATATTCAAATTAAAGAAGAAAGATTAAAATATTACCGCGATAAGCCGTTATTTTATTGTTTAAATGATAATTGTTTTAAGTTATGGCTATAAAACTTAATGTCATTTGGCCATTATTCTTTTTTTATGACGGGTGTCAAAGTTAATCTAAAAAACAAAACCTTTTTATTACAAGCTTTTCGGTGGTTTATAGAAATATATCAGTGATATAAAACTGGTAATTTCACTGTTTCAAACAGTGAAATTACCACTTTGATAATTTCACTGTTTTGAATTTAAGCCCCTCATGTTGTTTCAGTGAAATACCAGCGTGCACAGTACTGGGTACCAACTTAATGACGTGACGTCGTAAATGACGTCACGTTGTATTATTATTTGGCGCGCTTTTCATTCAGTATTACGTTTAATGTCTTTTTAAAACGTTTCTTTGCATGTAATAAAAAGAAAATTTGTTTTGTTTAGTGTAAGATCGAAATATGTTTCACCTTGTGAACACCAAAAGTTCATATTTCACTCGTGGCTGCGCCACTCGTGAAATATACCTTTTGGTGCTCACTCGGTGAAATATATTCCAATCTTACACTGAACTAAACAAATATCCTCAATATCTTCTTAATAAATTAATAAAAATAATTTTCTTTTTAAAGATGTGTTTTAATTTTCCATTCAAGTAATGACATAAAAGGATCTTACTGCATTTAAAAAACAAAGTCCACATAAATAAAGTGAGCATTTTAGTTTGTAATGAAATAAGACTGTGGGCTTTTCAGGACAATACAGCGATATATAGATTTAATTCACTGATAGATAGCTGAAAATTGTTGCAAGTCACTTCTAATACCAATAATCGTAGTCTAATGAAACATTTAGAAATCGTTCAATAAAATCAAGCGAACCTAATATTACATGTTTAGGACATTTTCGGGAATTTTCATCTAGACATTTAGGCAAAATTAAAACTGTTCAATATAATTTCTTTAAACTTGGCATGTTGTTAGAATATGATAACATAAATATTTTTAAGCGAAAAAAATGGGGTCGCAGTTCTCGTTTATGCCTGTATGAAAACTCCCGAAAACGTTCCTAAGTTATCGTGCATTAAAATAATATAACGTTTGATTTGCATATACAATTTTATTATTTGAACCAAGCATTAAGATTTAGTTATGATATCTGAGCTAAGAACAGGGAATTTCCTGACACCAAAAATAGATACATTATTTTTAAAGTCAAAATAGATATACATTGTATTGTTAACTTTCATTCCACAATAAATATATTCCTTAAACTCCCCGATCTTCTTAACAAAAAGATTCTTTTATTTTACTCACTGAGCTGAAAACATATTGTTACGAGCCAGGCGTAACGAGAAAGAAAAGCCAGCAACAAACTTTTAACAATAACAAATTTATTACAGAAAATTATTAAAGAAAAATAAAATAACAAATTATGTGTACAAATACCTGAAGTCCAAATAAAAATGTAAAATTAAAATGTCTTATCTGATCCTGGAATGATCCTTTTTGAATAGCACAGTTAAATCCAAGTTAAATCCAAGAACACTTTAGAATAAATTCCCACAATAAAATCCACAAGAATAATTGATTTTAAAATAATCCAAGCTCCAATAAATCACTTAATATCCAAGTTGAATAATACTCCAAATATATTAATGACTTAAAAGGTAACTGATGACTTCAAAGATCACTGATGACTTAAAAGGTACCAGTAATGAAAAATGTCACTTTATATATATTAACTAAGAAAATTCCAGAAAAGTCTATTATGTTCTAAAGTAATCATAATCTAGCAACTTCAACCATAAAGAACATTCCGGAAGTTTCTATCTGAATATAATGCATGAGTTTTCTACAACAGTTAAGAAAGTTCTAGTACATACATGTAGTTAATGTTCTAAAAATAGAACAATGATAATATTGGAAATACCAACTGGTCAGATATAAATTATATACATGTAATATGTTGCATACATAACACTTCCCCTCTTCAAGAAAAAGAAATGTGAATGAAATGAATATTTCTTTCACATAAATCCAAACAATGTAACTTACAAATTACGTAGGAGAAATGTTAAACAATTTTATACATTCATATATATGTGTATTATAAACAATAGCAAACAACAACAACAACAAAAAAAATCAATCATATATAGATGTTAAATTTAACATACTGAAAATAACAGTTTTAGACACGTGAAAGTGCATCAGGGATCAAATTATCTTTCCCTTTAATGTGTCTAATGTCAAGACTATATTCTTGCAAAAATAAGCTCCACCTCAACAACCTTTGATTTTTGTTTTTAAGTTTATGCAAGAAAGTGAGGGGATTGTGATCACTAAAGACAACAACAGGCAACTTTGAAGAAGTTAGATAAACTTCAAAATGCTGAATAGCAAGAATAAGAGCAAGGCACTTTTTCTCTATAGTAGAGTAATTTTTCTGATGTTCATTAAACTTTTTATTAAAGTAACAAACAGGATGGTCAACACCATTGTTGTCTTCTTGGATCAATACACTTCCAGCACCTATGTCACTAGCATCTACAGCTAACTTAAAGTTTTTATTAAAATCTGGTGCCAAGAGAACTGGTGCACTCTTAAGTATGGCTTTAAGGCTGTCAAATGCCATTTGACACTTGTCATTCCAAATGAATTTGTTTCTTTTCTTTAGCAAATTTGTCAATGGTTCTGCAATAACCGAAAAATTATTACAAAATTTACGATAATACTCTGCCATACCAAGAAATCGCATCAGTTGTCTTTTACAAGTAGGCACAGGAAATTCAGAGATAGCTTTGACCTTAGCTTCTATTGGTTTAACTTTACCCTGTCCCACTACATGTCCTAAAAATGTTAAAATTGCATGACAAAATTCACTTTTTGCAAGATTAACTGTCAATTTAGCATCACTAAGTCGGTCGAAGAATGCTCTTATAGTTTTGAGATGTTCCTCCCATTCATCAGAGTAGATGATTGCGTCATCAATGTATGCGTCACATCCGCGTAGACCAGATATTACCATGTTTATAAGTCTCTGAAATGTTGCTGGTGAGTTTTTCATACCAAATGGCATGACTTTATATTGATACAAGCCGTCTGGTGTTACAAAGGCTGATATTTCTTTAGCTCTATCAGTAAGTGGAACTTGCCAGAATCCTTTTAGAAGATCAAACTTTGTTACATACTTTGCTTTTCCAATTTTGTCAATACAGTCATCAATTCTTGGTATAGGAAATGAATCAGTTTTTGTTACAGAGTTCACTTTACGATAATCTGTACACATTCTATATGTTCCATTTGATTTCGGTACAAGAATACATGGAGAGCTGTAACTGCTTTGACTTGGTTCAATAAAGTCATTATCCAATAAATACTGAACTTCTTGTCTTAGGTAAGGGTTAGGGTTAGGGTGTTGGCTTTAATATTCCTTAAAGGAATAGCTTCAGGGAAGCGCGTAGAAGCACACATAATAGTTAATAAGTACTGAGAACCTGATTTAGTTTTTGGTAATGGACCTACACAGTCAATAATAACTCTACTAAAAGGTTCATCAAATGCAGGAATAGGCTGTAAATGAGCTTTAGGTATTGTCTGGTTAGGTTTTCCAACCATCTGACAAGATTTACAGTACCTAGATACATCTGCTTTAAGGTCAGGCCAATAAAAATTATTGAGAATTTTATGGTAGGTTTTATTAACACCTAAATGACCTGCCATGGGTGTTTCATGAGCCAAGCTTAATATTTCCTTGCGATATGATTTAGGGACCACAATTTGGTGATTTACAGTCCACTCCTCTTCAGCAGGGACATCGGGCGGTCGCCATTTTCTCATTAAAATCCCATTCTTTTCATAATAACAAACAGGGACTTGTAAAGCTTCATCTTCACTAAAAGC